TTATGATTTTTTCCCACTGGGTTTTTCCTATCAAGGTTTTAATGAGGCAACATAAGCATGCTTAACACCATATCAACAATCCAAGTAAATTTGTACTCTTTTTCCTTCGCTATGGTTTTTTTTTCCACTGGGTTTTTCCAAGCAAGGTTTTAACGAGGCAACTGATGTTGATATGTGGGCATCCGATGGGGAGTGTTGTAAACAGTGGGTATGTTTGCCCATATGTGTATAAATGTTTCACATGCTAATAGTAAATTTTGTAAGCTTTCGTTGAGGTGTGGCTCTATAAACAGAGCACTTCGGGTTGTTCAAAGTGTGAAAAACATCAAGAAGAGACAAGGAAGAAATATAATACTCTCAGTATCCCTCATTTTCTAATATCTGCAATATTTTTGTCAGTGTGATATTTTGCACCACTTCGTCCTCACTCTTAGCAAAGGTTATTTCTCTACTTTTGCCTATTTATAACACTCAATTAAATGAAGGATTAGATGTTCAAAGAGACAAAAGATGAAAAGTGTTCAATTTCAAAACTTAAAGGTACAATGTAATAAAAGTAGAACCTCAAGACTCATTTTAAAAACCACTGCAAACCTGAAGGGGTGCAAAATATAACTAGTCAATAAAGAATACACAACGAAATCAGGAGATAAAACTAATTGGTTGTATGATAAAAGTTAATGTAAAGGGGTGATAGATTCATCACTTCATCATCTTCTTGAGGTCAACATAAACACATACGAAATCTTTACGTGACAAATTTTCAACTTTGATGAATTAAATATGGCCTAACCTGCCTTACCTACTCCGGTAGAAATTAAAATCCATTCTCCCCAATCTTCTATTCTTTTTTTTTTTCCGTAGCTAATTTTCTTTCAAGGATTTTATCACTTCATTAAAAAAGAAAGAATACTGATCCGTATAGTCAGAAACAGAAGAACTCCAATTGGAATTCTATAAGTTGAACTGTCTACGCAAGGATTTTATCCTATCATGTAAGATTTATTCTCAACATGCCCATTCACGTATAGCGAACTATCAAGTCTAACACATTGACAACGTAAATCAGGTGACACAAATCACGTGTGCCCATTAGGCTTCACACATAGAACAACTTGCTTTGATGTCATAAAGAAAGATGAGGTTCAACTATAAAATTAATCGGCAATATAAGAGGTAGCTCAAGAACTTATAAACACATACAACTTTCCCTTATATGGAGTTAATGCCCTCAACAAAATTTTCTTAAGCACGAAAAATATTAGTTTACCTAATACATGTGTCTTATGATTTGTGTTATTTAGTTGGAAATTGTATATCGGAAAGCTTGCTTAAAATCTCAAAAATAGTACAAGAAACTTATAGCTCAAATAGTTAAGAACATCTATCTCTGCACTTAAAATTTCAGGCTTGATTTCTCCCTCTCCATTATCGTTCGTATACAAAAAAATTCAAAATAGTTCCCATGTATTTTGTGAGAATATCGACAGTGTGACACCAATTTTTTTTTCTTTTTGTTGCAGTCTACTTTCTACATACAAACATGGAAAGTAAAATAAAAATTTTCCAATAAAAAGAAAAAAACTCTGCAATCAAGGCGAAACTATCCAATAATTTCTGTAATGACGACAACGACGGACAGCGACAGATCTCGAAAAACATTGATCTGCTCAACTTTGCCTTGCTTTCCATTAAAAAGGAAGTCAGCAACGCTGTTTCTTCCTCGTCCTTTCTGGGAGGAGGAAAAGGAGGTGCAGAGGCATGGAAAAAAATGGATAAGACAAAAATGCAGGTAAACTTTACGTATATTTTAGCATTTACTTTTAAACTCAGTGGTATGATTAGGGTTTTAGCTTTTGCATGCTGTGTTAATATACCGCGGAACGGAGATTGTGTTTAGGTCTGGGGAGGCTAAAATCTTCCACACAGTGGAAACCAGAAAGCAATTTGACAAACGACAAATATAGCAGATTGCCGGAGTTGAAAAGGACATCAGTATTTGTCCAAAAACTCTCCCAAAAGGAACAAATTATGCAGAGGCCATGGTTTTGAGTAATTGAGTTGCTCATCCCCTGCAATGGGAATGATGTATGAACATCCTTTTTCATATGTTTCCCATTTTTTTCAATCATTGGATTCAACAAATTAAATGAAAGTTAACGGCCATAATTAAAAGGAGGGGAAAAGAAGCGGAAAAATCACTTTCTAGTAAATAATTGATCTCAACATGTTCATTTTTACTTCTCACACGTCCATTTTAATTTCCGGTCGTTGGATCAAATGAATGAAAAGATATCAATGACAAAAAATTAACAAGGGTGTGTGAATAACACTATCCAAAATAAAATGAATTTTTCCTTGAATGGTCAATGATCACAAAGAACGATCATACACTTGATCTCAACATGCCATATGGTGCTACTATCATATATAGAATAATTTTCCGTAATCTCTTATCTAACCCTAATTTTATAGATTAAGAACCATCTCATAGTGTAACATCAGCATAGCTTATGATGTCAATGACTCAAGGTAGAGCACTCAATGGGCTAGGGTGGGGATTGAAAGGGTAAGTTTCGTTTATGGCTAATTGAACAAAATTCGAACATTGCATCTGGTTTTATTTTTTTATTTTTTCCAACTTACGTTATATCTAGTGAGTTATCAAATCTACTCCCAAACATTGAGCGTGTCTTAAATTAACCAATGTCAACACAAAGAAAAGAACTAAGATCCAATTTGGAATCACGAAGACAATCATCCAAAACAATGATTTAATGGCAGTCGGTCAAAAGTTTAAGACAAAAAGTTGCAAAGAGCTCGTAACTCAAGTGATTAGAGCATTTAATTTACATCCAAAATCTTGATTTTGATTCCTCATCTCCAACATCACTAGTTAAAAAAATAAATAATAAAAAAAATAATAATAATAATTTGGTCACTATTTGAGTTGTGGCTTTATGGTCTTGGCAGAATGCTCATCAATTTATGGTATACCCATATCATAGGAAGAAAATCCATACAAATGTTATCAGACCCAAACAAAAACGATTACATACATTTACAAATAGCAGTTCAAAATGAATCATAAGGTCTCAATTTTATCATATTGCACATGAGGATGAATTTGTATCAATTTACACCTTTTGTCTATTCAAAATTTTAAGGGTAAATTACACTTTCATACCTCAGGCTTGGGATCCATTTTAACCTCATACAATAACTTTAAAACATTTCACTTTCATACCTCAAGTACTATTTTATTTCAATATAGTACATCCGTTAGATTTTCCATCCATTCATCCGTTAAATACTGATGTGGCTGCCACATTTGTGCCACGTGGCTGCCAAATGTCTGCCACGTGGCAAATAAAAATATTTTTTTAAAACCTGAATTTTCTCAAAAAAAAAACCAGATCTGCAAGAAGAAGAAGAATAGGGAGGAAGAAAGAAAAAGAAAAAAAAATTGTCCTCCCCCCCCAGCGACCCAGAAGAAGAAGAAGAAGAAGAAGAAGAAGAAGAAGAAGAAGAAGAAGACGACGACGAAGAAAAGAAAAAAAAAGTTTGTCCTCCCCCCCAACTCACCCACCCAGCGACCCAGAAGAAGAAAAGGGAGGAAGAAAAGAAAAAAAAATATTTGTCCCTAACCCCCCCTCCCCAACCCCAGCGACACAAAAGAAAAGAAGAAGAGGAGGAAGAAGAAGAAGAGGGAGGAAGAAAAGAAAAAAAAAATTGTCCCTAACCCCCCTCCCCCCCCCCCCCCACAACCCCAGCGACAAAGAAGAAGAAGAAGAAGAGGAAGAAGAAGAAAAAGAAGAAGAAGAGGGAGGAAGAAAAGAAAAAAAATTTTGTCCCAAACCCCCCCCCCCCAACCCCAGCGACAAAGAAGAAGAGGAAGAAGAAGAACAAGAAGAAGAGGGAGGAAGAAAAGAAAAAAAAATATTTGTCCCTAACCCCACCCCCCCCCCCCAACCCCCAGCGACAAAGAAGAAGAAGAAGAGGAAGAAGAAGAAAAAGAAGAGGAAGAAGAAGAGGAAGAAGAAGAAGAAGAAGAGGGAGGAAGAAAAGAAAAAAAAAATCATCCCTAACCCCCCCCCCAACCCCAGTGACAAAGAACAAGAAAAAGAAGAGGGAGGAAGAAAAGAAAAAAAAAAAAAAATTGCCACGTGGCAAACATTTGGCAGTCACGTGGCACAAATGTGGCAGCCACGTCAGCATTTAACAGATTAATGGATGGAAAATCTAACGGATGTATTATATTGAAATAAAATAGTATTTGAGGTATGAATGTGAAATGCTTTAAAGTTGTTGTATGGAATTGTAATAGACTTCAAAACCTGAGGGACTACTATGTAATTTACCCAAATTTTAATCATCAACTAAATTAATGAGGTTTTTTTTTGTCAATGTGACACAAATGTAGCGTATACATTAGTTCATATAATCAAAGGTCTCAAGTGCACGTCATTAGTTTAATATATTATCAAACAATTAATTAGATCGAAGGCCCTAATTGATACAATTTCAATACCTGAAGTGCAATATGAGAAAATTGAATCTTCGTGGCCTATTTTGAAAATCACCCGAACTTAAATGGTGTAAATTAAATGGTGTAAAATGAAGTTAACCCTAAAATTTAGTCCACAAATCTTTAGCTCACTAATGTCAACTAGTTTAAAACTCTTTTATCAGAATCATCTAACTTTGTTGTAACCCGATCCTGATTTACACCACTGAATAAAACTTTCGGGTACAAACTTTTAAAGAAGTTGCTCTCTTGTTTCCTAACCCAAACACGCACCCCTCAGCCCCTCTCCCAACCGATGTGCCGCCAATGCCTCGCGATCAGAGGCACCATCATGGGACACCTCCACTGCAGAGGGTCGGTGCCTCAGGTGGCAGCCATGACTGGAACTAACATTCTTTTTAATTCTCAAAATTTGAAAATAAACGGACTTATAATAACTAAGGAATTTAATGAAAGATAGTAATTAAAGTCATTTCCATGTAGAAATCTAGACTTACCATAATGTGGCAGTTTATTATCTTTCGGGGCTGAATTCGCCAGCACACGATAAAAAAACACAAACATAGATATTGAGGCCAGTGATACACATGAGAAATTCTGCCGAAAGTGCCAAATACCAGTTCAAGAACCTACTATCTACAAACTTAGGGAATAAGAAAACAACAAAGCTAAACAAGATTTAAGTACCAAAATTAATGGGACCCCCCAAATTTAAAATCCTGAATCCGCCACTGCATACGATTAACGGTGGTTTGCAGCACCTTCAACAGGGTGGCTAAGTAGAGTTTTCACTTTAGTATGCTTTACCCTAGCTCAACAGTCCAATCCATCTTGTCCTCTGAAAGACCCATTTGTAATCTGGTAAGCACAGAGTAGAGCTTTTCCGACACGACTCCAAAACCACCTTCTCCATAAGAAACCCTACACAAGAAAAAGCTTACAATTATGTTTCTTTGATTGTGGTATGGATGCTCCCACATAAACCCAATCTTCTATTTTAATAAGCAGGAGTGCTACTGAGACATGTTTGGCATGGAAATTTACTTTCGCCCGAGTTTCCTATAAGTAATAGCCATATATGTATTTTAGGGCTTTTCACATACAAGCTCATGATAACATTGTACTTTAGAGAAAAGGACTTCAAACCCAATGGTTTATTTTAAAAAGCCCTACATTGTAATGGGAAAGAGGCACCAAAGAACCTTCACAACTAAGAATTGTTCAGATGAAGGAATATCTTAAAGTGTTTTTGTATAAAATTGTTGGGGTATTATTTTCTAATTTAAAATTGAACGGGCAATTTCCCCCTTACAAGAGGATGACATAATCAAAGATTACATTAATTCTTCACCAACAAACAAGGCAAAAGAAGAAATCTCCGGTTCCCATTTTGAGGAAACATTTCAAAGTGTCACTCATTTTTACCGTTCTGTTGATGGACAGAGAAAAACTTGCTTTGCAGGCCAATAAAGAAAACGAAAAGCTGTTTTCTTTCTCTGGAACTTTTGTTAGACAGAAAACTTACTTTTTGCCAAGATACGTTATGCTGCCAACAGGTGATACAACCACAGCTGTTCCGGTGCAAAAGACTTCATCGGCATCAAGTAATTCATCCACTGCCACTTGGCGCTCCTCAACCTGCACATTATAAAATGGCATTCGGCAATTAAGTTGCTAAAGAAAATATTTAAGCTATTATTTTAGATCTATAACTAGTAGAGTATGCCTTGCACCATGTAAAAACCAAAATAAAAGGTCAATAACAAGAGAACATTAAGGAAATGTCTTCCCTTCCCCAACTCCCCAATCATATACCATATTCATACCTGGAATCCTTCGCTACGAGCAACATCAATTATACTCTTTCGAGTAATGCCAGGTAAGATTGTCCCTTTTATTGCCGTAGAGATAACATTATCCTAGAAACACAATAAACATCGACAAATTAGCTTTGACCACCTTTAAACTATAACATTGTACATATATGCTTCATGAAAGTGCAAATGACATGTCAGATGCAAGGGCTTATTGTTGCAACTAACGTTAAGTTCCATGAAAAGAATGTACATGCATATGGGGTTGAAGACGACAGACCATCTCAAACTAAGAAAAATTATTAATAATTATATTAGAAGCCAGTAGGCTAATCTTGGAAAGCTCTAGGCTGCATTTAAATTTAAGAAACAATGCTGCTGTTCAAGTATTGAGGAAAATTACATTATAATTTGTTCCAGAACTTAAAGGGAGTAAAATCTCTTCTTCAATTTTATGAGACATGGCAATGCTACAGTATCTATTGTAATGCGTAACAGTATTGAGGAAAGGTTGCAATTATAAAAGTGGATTTCAGTGCTTAAGGTTATCAGACATGCCAAGTGATAACAATTGGTAAATGTTAGATGCAATTTGTGGCAGCACCAGCAATGCATTCCTGTTGTTACTATAGTATGATCTGGTGTGCAAACCAAAGTGTCTATTTGGTAAGGTTCTTAAAAGAAAAAGTGTTGGCTTGGGATCGCAGTAAATGCAGGTGGATGGTTTTATTAAGCACGCAATTTTGTGAACTCACAAACAAAATGACATCATAGCACATTGAGAAGGCAAACATCTAGGTAGCCACCAATCAATAATAATATAAAGTGTACATGATAATAAAAATAAAAATAAGACTTGCGCACCCACAAAATTCCAGTCACATTACCTTGACAACAAAAATATTGCACGAGGAAACCTCCTCCAGATATTTTTTGTGAACACAGTCGAGGTACAAAACATCAGAATAGCCTTTCGCTTTTGCGGCAGACTGTGCCTTCAAAACCTACAGATAAACCATTTAACATTTTGAAGATTAACAGGTCAGCAGCTAAATACTGCAATTTTAAGTTTAACAAAGTGAAATGATAAATACTAACAAGCACTAACTTAACTACAGGAAAATGGTTGGAATGAGCCTTTGTTTAGTCGGTGACATTGCACAAGTTAATTAATTCATTAAAGAAACAAATATATGATTTTCATTGATGGACACAAACGGAGCCTCGTATTTAAAATTTTAAAGAGAGTATAAAAGTTTAATCACTACGCAATTAATATCTATGAAACTAAGTAAAAGGGTTGCTGCTTTTAGTTCTTGACGCACTAAAGCAGTTAGAACCATATGCAGAGGGGAAATATTATGGTCACAGTTTTATGACTTTACACCAAAAAATATAGACAGAACATAGCCATAGGAAGCAGACAACTAATAATTTAAAAAGCTGAATTGGGCCAAGATTCAAGTAATTAAGAACTAGATAATAAGAGAAGCACTAGCTTACAGCGGCATAATTCCCTATAGTCTTGACCCCTCCAGTACCACCAGGAGTTGCACGATGCAATTCATGTTCGACAATCAAATTTATGGGTGCAACACCTTCCTGCCACCAGATATGCACATATAAACCACTCAATGATGGTAGAAATGCAACTAAACAAGCAAAGAATCCGAGAACAAAAAGATAACAATAGGGTAAAACCAAATTCAAATAAGTGACCTATTTACAATAAGACAAGGGAATACCAGACAAGAACATTGAAGCTAAAAGTAATGAAATAATCCACACCCAATGGACAAAGGAAAGAAACGTTGCTCTATAATGAATTAAATCATACATTTATGTACCAAACACTTAGATAAAAACTTAAAATGTAACGTGCACTTTTCATGATTATGACTCACTAAAAAGATTTCAAAATGCCCATACCAATCGTGACTCAATCATGTTGAACAATCAATGGGCAATATTGAGTTTGGTGATAGCATCCAACAATGCATTAAATCGAAATAAATCATTAGTTAGTGAATTACACAAGACTGCATTAGTATAAAATAAAATGCCAATATTAAACTTGGTATAGCAAAAACAATTAGAAGAAAATTCCGGAAAACCAAGGGCAGTGACATGGTATTTTACACTTCATAGCAATATGCGAGTACGACAACAAACCTTAAAATAGTTTCCAACGGGTGAAACATAAATAAGAAATGTGTACTCCGGAGCAGGTGCAAGACCAAGAACAGCACCACTTCCCATTAGCAATGGCCTGATATATAGGGAACCTTTGCCTGGAGGGGGAACCTGAAACAAGAGATTGACAACTCATTAACAACATTACACATGCTAACATTCAAAATAAAAAATTCTTACTACATGTGTGTTTTTATTACCCAGCGTCTATTTGCTAAAACAGTAGCCTTTACAGCTTCAACAAACTGTTTGACAGTTGGTGATGGCATACACATCCGCTCTGCACCCAACCTCATCCGCAATGCATTTTCCTCAGGACGAAACAAGAGTATAGTACCATCTTCTTTCCTGTAGGCTTTCAAACCTTCAAACAATCCCTAAGGAGATGAACAAGAGAAATATTAAAGTATGATTAGTCAATATTCAAGTACTTGGATTACTTAATTAAAATATTTTATTTCCCAAACTTTTCTTTCAGTTTAACCTCATCATGAGGCGATAACGAATCTCTCACCTCCTTGACTTATCCTCCATATATGAAACCAATCACTTGAATGCCCTACTTAGTTACAAACCCAGTTACAAACCCGCACTACAAGCCTTAGCATGTTCATAACTATTCTTTAAGATTTAGACATGATACCTTAAGATTCAGACTCGTATATATCTCAAACTCCAAACTAATTAACAGAACAACATCTACCTGGTGCAGAATATGATACTTATTCAAAGTGTGTTATATATCACAATAGCTATATTTAATTGACTTTAAAAGCTCATCCAACACTATATGCAAATGGTCAAAAATAACAAACAGGAAAATTCACACCATAAGCCCAATTGAAACAACGATTTTTCCCAACATCAAAACAGAACAGAATAAGAAAATTTATCATACAATAATTATAAGGTTCAATGGTGTCTGGTAAAAGACATGGCACAATTCAAACAGTGAACCAATGATTTTCCTAAAATGCACTTATTTAGGGCTTAAACTCCGCCTGTGTAAGTTTATCTTACATTGCCAGTCCCAAGCCCGGGTAAAGGAGGAGGGGGAGGGCGTCAGGTAGTCGACAGCCGGCACTCCTCGGTTACGTCGAATCCTTATGAAAATGAATCCAGAACGAAATCGCGCTAAAACTAGGGCATCACCCGTAAGTGGTGCGCTGTGTGGCCCGAGCACAGTGATAAGTGAGCAAGGGTCGCTGTATCTCCATCGGCACCCGGATGCAGTGTTAAATGAGCAAGGGGGCCATAGAAACTTCTTTTCGAACGACTCCACTCAAAATTGTTTGGGAGCATATGCTCCTATCAACTTTACACAGGACACACAAAAGAAGTACTTTGATCCTATTGGACGGGGGAGGGTGAAGAAGTTAGGACAGAAGGGTAGAGTTCAAGCGAGTAGAATACGTTTAGGAACGTGGAATATAGGAACCTTAACGGGAAAATCTATGGAAGTAGTGAAAGTTATGGTGAGGAGAAGGATAAATATTATGTGCCTACAAGAAACTAAGTGGGTTGGTCTTAAGGCAAAGGATCTAGAAAACTTAGGGTTTAAACTTTGGTATTCGGGCACAAATAGAACGAGAAACGGTGTTGGCATCATCGTGGACAAGACCTTGACACAAGTTGTTGTAGATGTCAAGAGGGTAGGAGATAGAATCATGGCAATCAAGATTGTAATAGGACAAGAACTCATCAATGTGATTAGTGCGTACGCACCTCAAGTAGGGTTGGATGCAAGTTCGAAGGAGAAATTTTGGGAAGACCTTGGAGACTTGGTGCAAGGAATTGCCCGGACGGAGAAGTTATTTATAGGAGGAGATTTAAATGGACACGTGGGCAGGGAGACAGGCAACTATGGAGGTTTTCATGGTGGCCATGGTTTTGGGGAGAGAAACGAGGATGGGGAAGCTATCTTGGATTTTGCAATGGCATATGATCTCTTCTTAGCCAACAGCTTCTTTAAGAAGAGAGAAGAACATGTGATCACCTACAAGAGTGGGTCGTAAAAAACACAAATAGATTTTCTTCTAATGAGGAAAGGGGATCGTATAACTTGTAAGGATTGCAAAGTTATACCGGGAGAGAGCTTGGCTAATTAACATCGCTTGTTGGTGATGGATGTACATATCAAAAGAGTGAGAAAAAAGAACAAGACTTGGAAGTGCCCAAGAACTAGATGGTGGAATCTAAAAGGAGAAAAACAAGCCATTTTCAAAGAGAAAGTAATCACCCAGTGTGGGTGGGATAAAGAGGGGGAAGCTAGCTAAATGTGGGATTCCATGGCTAGTTGTATCCGAAAAGTAGCAAAAGAGGTATTAGGGGAGTCCAAGGGCTTGGCTCCACACCAAAAGGAATCTTGGTGGTGGAATGAGAAGGTAAAAACAAAGGTGAAGGCTAAGAAGGAATGTTGTAAAGCTTTATACAAGGACAGGACCGATGAAAATGGTGAAAGGTATAGAAGAGCGAAGCAAGAGGCGAAGAAAGCTGTGAGAGAAGCTAAGTTAGCGGCTTATGACGATATGTATAAGCGACTAGATACCAAAGAAGGAGAGTTGGATATCTATAAACTAGCTAGAGCAAGGGAAAAGAAAACAAGGGACCTAAACCAAGTGAGGTGCATCAAGGATGAGGATGAAAAGGTTCTTGCTACAGAGAACGGGGTCAAAGACAGATGGAGAGGTTATTTTCATAATCTTTTCAATGAAGGACATGAAAGGAGTACTTCTTTAGGGGAGTTGAGTAACTCAGAAGAGTGTAGACACTACTCATTTTATCGTCGAATCAGGAAGGAAGAAGTGGTTATAGCTTTGAAGAAGATGAAGCATAGAAAAGCAGTGGGCCCAGACGATATACCGATCGAAGTGTGGAAAGTCTTGGGAGAGACAGGTATAGCATGGCTCACTGACCTTTTCAATAGGATTCTGAAAACGAAGAAGATGCCAAATGAGTGGCGAAAGAGCACTTTGGTGCCTATCTACAAGAATAAGGGCGACGTACAAAATTGCATGAACTATAGGGGTATTAAGCTAATGAGTCATACAATGAAGCTCTAGGAGAGAGTCATTGAGCATAGATTGAGGCAAGAGACATGGGTTTTGGACAACCAATTCGGGTTCATGCCAGGGCGCTCAACCATGGAGGCAATCTATCTTTTACGAAGATTGATGGAAAGATATAGAGATGGGAAAAAGGATTTACACATAGTCTTTATAGATTTGGAAAAAGCGTATGATAGGGTCCCAAGAGACATTCTTTTGAGGATTTTAGAGAAGAAAGGAGTACGAGTAGCATATATCCAAGCTATAAAGGATATGTATGAAGGAGCAAAGACTGCCGTAAGAACTCATGAAGGACAAACCGAAAGCTTCCCCATAACTGTAGGATTACATCAAGGCTCATCCTTAAGTCCTTACCTTTTTGCGTTGGTAATGGATGAGTTAACAGGACATATTTAAGATGATATTTCTTGGTGTATGCTTTTCGCAGACGATATAGTGTTGATAGATGAAACTCAGGAAGGGGTAAATGCGAAACTTAACCTTTAGAGAAAGTGTTGGAATCTAAAGGTCTTCGCCTAAGCCGATCAAAGACAGAATATATGGAGTGCAAGTTCAGTGCAAATGGAGGCCAAAATGAGTTAGGGGTGAGGATCGAAGACCAGGAAATACCAAAGAGCGATCGTTTTCGCTACTTAGGATCTATCTTGCAAAAGAACGGAGAATTAAATGGAGATCTCAACCATAGAATACAAGCTGGATGGATGAAGTGGAAGAGTGCATCCGGCGTGTTGTGTGACCGCCGTATGCCACTGAAGCTCAAGGGAAAATTTTATAGGACGGCAATAAGGCCAACGATGTTGTATGACACATAATGTTGGGTGGTGAAGCATCAACACGTACACAAAATGGGTGTAGCGGAGATGAGGATGCTTCGTTGGATGTGTGGGCACACGAGAAAGGATAAGATTAGGAATGAAGATATCTAAGGTAAAGTAGGAGTAGCCGAAATTGTGGGAAAGCTGAGAGAAAATCGGTTACGGTGGTTTGGACATGTGCAAAAAAGGCCTACTGACGCTCCGGTTAGAAGATGCGACTACTGGACAGAGGTTTAGGGCCGAAGGGGTAGAGGAAGACCTAGGAAAACTTTGGAAGAGACTCTAAGAAAAGACTTAGAGTATTTGGATCTAACGGAGGATATGACACAGGACCGAGCACAATGGCGTTCTAAGATTCATATAGCCGACCCCACTCAGTGAAGAAGGCTTTGGTGTATTTAACACAATACGTTGAAATGAAGCAAAACTTATTTATTGATATCTCCGATAAGTTACAAATATGTACATATACATGAGTCAAAATAAACAAACAAGCGGGAGCCTTCACAAAATTGCTTAGGAGAAGTCTCAGCAGTCGGTAGAGCTCCAGAAAGAGAAGGCACCGGAGGGGGATCATTCAAAGCCTCAATACTGGACAGAACCCTAGAAGGAGGAGGCATCGGAGGTTGATCATTTGGAACTTCATTACGCGGTACAGCCCCAGAAGACGAAGGCAATAAATGCCTTTGGAACAAACCCACAAACCGTTAATGATCAAGTAAAAGCTGACCATCAAATTCCTTCATCTGGTCAAGCTTCCTCTTTATGTTCGTAGCATAATCACGTGTGAGCCGGTGCAACTATTTATTCTCATGCTTGAGCCCTCTAATCTCCTGTTTGAGACTCATCACTTTAGCCGCCAATGATTCAACTTGGCGGGTTCGAGCAAATAGACGCTGGGTCATATTAGACACAGAATCTGCACACTGAACACTCAGAGCCAGAGAATCCTTAACAGCCAACTCATCAGACCGTTTGGAAAGTAGTTTGTTATCTTTGGAAGTGAGAAGGTTCCTGGCCACCATCGCAGCGATCATATCATTCTTCATCACGGAATCCCCAACGGTAAGAGGACCAGTAGGGGATCAGAAGGATGGGCGCCATATGTTGTCTGGAAAAGGCGTGGCTGCCTCTTCAACAAGGTTCAAGTCAAAACGACGGTCAGAAGGATCAGACATTTTCAAATGTGTTGAAGAGATAAGAGGTCGGACAAATCAAGATCTTAGAAGTGCAAGAAGGGAGCTTCTACTGGTGAAGATTCAAGTGTGCTTTGGAACTTAATGCCAGCCTCTATAAAAATCTGCACTAGACGGAGCTTCAGAAATCGAAGAGGCGCCTACCCAGAAATCAAAGAGGCGTTTGTTTCTCAAAAGCTGGGCTGCTCAGAGACCACGAGGATCGATCTCAAAAATCGAAGAGGCGTTTGCTTTCTCAAAAGCTAGGCTGCTCAAAGACCACGAAGGCTGATCTCAGAAATCGAAGAGGCGATTGCTTTATCAAAAGCTGGGCTGCTCAGAGACCACGAGGGCCGATCTCGGAAATCGAAGAGGCACCTGCTTTTTTCAGCCTTGTCAGCACCTGTCACATGCACACTCAGCTTTGCTGAAATTACGGGCATTCTGTTGAAGATTTCTGGTGAAGTAGAAAGCACGTGAATCTTACTATTCATTCATCCACTTTCCATATGCACCATCAGCTCATGGGTACCACAGATAACTTTGCCAAAGATCTCTGACAAAGTTTAGACACGTGAAGCTTGCAGCTCCGACTACTTCGCTATGACCAAGAAGGGTAAAAGAATAGCAAAGAAACAACACTAACAAAGTGTAGACACATAAATTTTGAAAGTCTAACTACCATATTCTTACCCACAAGGGTAAAGGAACAGCACCACTACTGGATAATTGGAAAGTCACTGTGTGTCAACCTCTGTGCTCCGTGGCAAGGTAGACTAGCAAACATGCCCAACCTTTACTCACATTCGAGAAAACACTCCCAACAAGATTGCTTGCTCCAAAATTGAAGAGGCACCATCTCCGAATCTCGAGAGGCAGACTCCCAACATGATTACTTTCTCAAAAATCGAAGAGACACCGCTCTCCGAATCTCGAGAGCCAGACTCCCAGCAGGATTGCTCTCTCAAAAATCGAAGAGGTACCGTTCTCCGAATCTCTAGAATCAGATCCCCGACAGGATTGCTTGTTCGAAAATCGAAGAGGCACCGCTTTCTCAACTTTGAGAGCCAGATTTCCTTGGATAAAGCTTGTCTGTAATCTTCACACGCAACATCAGCTTTCCAGATACCACAGACCACTTTTTCAAAGTGCTCTGACACACGTGAAGCTGGCAGCTCCCACTACCGTGCTATGACCAAGCAGGGTAAAGGAATAGCACTACTACTTGTTGTTAGGGAGACTCCTATATATGTCGACCTCCATCCTCAACGAACAGGCAGACCTGCAAAAATGCTCAACCATTCCTCATATCTGAGAGGTCACTCCCAACGAAACCTCTCGAAATACTCAGCTTTCTTTCCCCCCGATAATACCTCTGCAAACAAGCTACACCAGAGCAAGAATATCTCATATCATCAGGGTTAAAAGCAAGAATATCCCATATCATGCTTTTTCACTGTCTTTTCCCTTTGGCCTTGTTCTTACCTCCAAGACAAAGAGAAAGAGAGCAATCAGTCAGCACTTGAAATTAAGCTTCCAGTCAGGAACTGACTGCCTGGAACCACTTACCTGATTACTTACATTGCATTGCTCTCGAGTACTCATCTTCAACATCTTATACTTCCAGAGAAGATACCACATCTGCCTGAGGAACAGATAGGGAAAGTAACGATACAAGGCATGTGGAGACAAGCGTAACAGAACACGTGCCGATACATCCACTACTTTGTCAACAGCAAAAGTATCCCATATCAGCAGGGTCGAACGTACTCTAGATTTGATGGACTTGTTTTGACCCTCAAATTCTTCAGTCGGCCTTATACTCTGGAGGAAACCAGAAAACCCTCCAGCCCAGTTCAAGAATAAGCCTGTGGAAAGTTACTTCTTCAAAAGCAAAAGTATCTCATATCATCTATTCTCCTTTTCTTCTCTTTATCTTTCATGCTGCCTGCAAGATAGGGAGAATGAGAACAATCAGCCAGAACTCGAAATCAAACTTCTGATCTGGGACTGATTGCTTGGAGCTCTGATTGCTTACCTTGTCTGTCACCTCTTTCAGTAGATCCCCTAGCTCGGCGACTTGGGGGACTCCTACTACATGGTTTGTATCGCGCTTGACCAAGCCTGAAACTACAAGTAAGCTTCAAGTGAAATTGATACATTACCTTGTGCATCTCCACCAGTTAAAGATACCACCCCTGGATGGAGGAAGAGTACTTCCAGAAAAGATGCCACATCTACATATGAGACAGATAAGGCAAGTGAAGATGATACCACACTTCGGTACTTAGAAGTTTCGTGATTACGAGATCATTCTCCCACAATATTTCCTAATGTCATTTGTACTAAATCATTCACTTGTACTCACTAAAGGAGAGCTTGAACCTATGTACTTGTGTAAACCCTTCACAATTAATGAGAACTCCTCTACTCTGTGGACGTAGCCAACCTGGTGAACCATGTACATCTTATGTTTGCTTTCCTGTCTCTATCCATTTACATACTTATCCACACTAATGACCAGAGCAATCTAGCGAAGATCACAAACTTAATACTTTATGTTGTACCAAAGTCTTCACTGATTTTGTGCATCAACAATCCTTAAGTCCTTACCCTTTTGCGTTGGTAATGGATGAGTTAACATGACATATTCAAGATGATATTCCTTGGTGTATGCTTTTCGCAAACAATATAGTGTTGATAGATGAAACTCAGGAAGGGGTAAATGCGAAGCTTAACCTTTGGAGAGAAGTGTTGGAATCTAAAAGTCTTCGCCTAAGCCGATCAAAGACAGAATATATGGAGTGCAAGTTCAGTGCAAATGGAGGCCAAAATGAGTTAGGGGTGAGGATCGGAGATCAGGAAATACCAAAGAGCGACCGTTTTCGCTACCTAGGATCTATCTTGCAAAAGAACGGAGAATTAGATGGAGATCTCAACCATAGAATACAAGCTGGATGGACGAAGTGGAAGAGTGCATCCGGCATGTTGTGTGACCGTCGTAGGCCACTGAAGCTCAAGGGAAAATTTTATAGGACGGCAATAAGGCCGGCGATGCTGTATGGCACAGAATGTTGGGCGGTGAAGCATCAATACGTACACAAAATGGGTTTGGACAGGTGCAAAGAAGGCCTACTGACGTTCCGGTTCGAAGATGTGACTACGGGATAGAGGTTCAAGGCCGAAGGGGTAGAGGAAGACCTAGGAAAACTTTGGAAGAGACCCTAAGAAAACACTTAGAGTACTTGGATCTAACGGAGGACTTGACACAAAACCGAGCGCAATGGCGTTCTAGGATTCATATAGCCGACCCCACTTAGTGGGAAAAGGCTTTGTTGTTGTTGTTGTTGTTGCACTTATTTAGGGCTTAGGTTTTAGGGTTTAACTATCGAACTTTGAGCTAACATCCAAATAAGAGAGTGAAACTCTACAACACAAATCGTACAAGGAAATTCTATCATATATGCTCCAAATCAGAAGATGAAAAAAAATTGTTTAGACGTCACACACAGAACTCATATAATAGTAGGCATGTCAGTGGACTAGGCATCCAATTAGTATAAACTCCAATACTCCCATTATAGTTTTGGGCTTGTAAGTTACTCCTAAAGTAAGAATACGGAAATACAAAACTTTATATTGAATAAAGTAACATTAGGGTGCAAAGTTTGAAATATTGAACCTGCCCATAATTCAAGACTCCGGCTGAGGGGCTCAATTCGATGTTCCCAAAACTTTGTAATTCACCTTTGGGAAAGTTTCCACCTTGAGCACATTTCATGACGTACATGTAGTCGGTAGAAAGAAACGCAAAGCCAAGGTTGTCCCAATCGATGTCCGCTAGTTCACTTGTTTCACTGCTGAGCCCAACAATAACATGTAAACATAGAAATCAAATCACATAAACCAGAAAAAAAACAAATTGGACAACGAAATCAAAACTAAGTAAAACAGAACAAGTTAACTAAATCAAATCCGAAAGCAGGGATTAACCAATGTAACGAATGATAAAAACAACATAATCAAAGCAAACGATGTGTTAATAATCAATCAAATTCACCATTCCACAACAATACCAATAAATATTTAAAAGCAACCCAAATGGAAAGGAAGAGAATTTACACGAACCTATCGGACAATGTGGTATATCCGCCAATGGGAGAGGCGGCGGCTGCGGCGGCGGCGGCTCCATGAGAAGTCAAAGGAAGCTGCTTTTGAAGCTGCAAAACAAAATAGTGAGCAAAACCCCATTCGTAAATCAAATCAAAATTAAATTAAAAAAATATGTACATATATGTGTGTATGTATGTGTATATATATATATATATATATATGTATATATGAGAGATTAATGTGGAGGATGGAGGGTACCTTTAAGGAGAGAGGAAAGGAATGGGAAGTGAAGGAGAAGGGGCGGAGGGGAAGAGAGGAAGAAGGGTTGCGGGAGGGGTAAAGAAGGTAATTTGGCTGAAGACCTCCAAGGACGGCGCTGCTCTCCATCTCTCTCTAACCTCTAAAACTCTCTAAATTTCTCTCTCTCTCTCTCTCTCTCTCTCTCAATACAACACAAACCCTTTCTCTCTATCTCTCTCTCTCTCTTTGTTTTTGTCTCTCTCTCTCTCTCCCCCCCCCCCCCTCCTTTTTTCCGTCTCTGTCGTTGTGAATATACTAGGAGAGAGAGAGCCAGGGAGGCTGCTTGCGTTCCGAGTCAGATTGTTAGGCAACTGAAATAACTATCTTTTCATTTCCACATATAGACCGATTCAATGGAGAAAGCTATATTTCCTTGACCAAAAAAATAGGAAATAAAAAGGCTATGCTATAGTGCTACTTGCTCTTACGGAATTTAGAGGTGATTGATTTTCACATTTTTTATTTTATTTCTTGTACGTCTAAATTTATTTCTGATTATTTGATTGAATAAAGTAAAGAAAAAATGTATATGAATAAGTAGAGTGCGTGTGTTTATATTGTTCTTCTTTATTGTAAATGAGATGATTTGAATTCAACTATTATGAATGTTTAGTTATATAACATTATCAGAATAGATACGTGATGTAGCTTACTTCAAATTACCCAATATGGTTGTACTGAAAAAAATGATTAACCAATTTAAGTAGAATGGAAGTTTTGACAACAACTAAAACAAAGTAAAATTGGAATGTGTTGATGTTGTTTTTTTTTTTTTTTTTTTTTGGTCGAATGGAATATGCAGATGTGATTCATCTATTCTATTAAGAGAAGAGGGCTTGTCAACTTTTGCCTTTTTTTTCCAATCTTGCCCTCACTTTTTAATACACAATGTTGAGGTAAAATAGTAATTTTGTATCTTTTGACAAAATAACAATCATATCCTCATTTTTCCTATTTTACTCTCATTTTTTATACACAATATTTACATAAAAAGGGTAAAAATGGTAATTATGTAATATTAAGAAAAATATGCCCTTATTAAGAGATCTCATCATCATTGTCTTATACTCTTTTTTTGAAAAAATGACAATCATATACTTATTTTTTCAATTTTACCCTCACTTTTGATACACAATATTTACATAAGGAGGACAACACAATAATTATGTAATATTAAAAGAAATTGTGCACATACACAAAGTGTGTGCTCTCTGCTATTAAACATTAGAAAAAGACTCGCCCATTGTAAACTAAACACCCAAAAATAGAAAACAAGAAACCAAAACAAAATATTTTTTAAAAAGAGTTTGGAAAATAATAATCAACACACCCTTGTTAAGCCTCTCACGCACTCTTATTTAATCATATTTGTTGTTTTTGTTCAATTTATTCAATATGAATGACAAAAATTTTAAAAAAAATGTGTGAAGAGATAAAAAGAATATGTGAAAATCATGTACCTAACTCGTGTAGAAGTGTTTTTAATATGGTTGAAAATATTTTTGGTAAAAATAATTTACTATTGCTTCTCTATGCGATCGGGCAAGGTTGGCCTTGAGGTTAGTCCATGTAGGCGCCCGCCTAGGATCCCCTTTTAGAGGGTCCCAAAAATTTTATATATCCTGTAAATAACATATAAATACAGAAAAAGTAAGAAATATCATCATTCATTTGTTGGTGTAGAGGAAATGTTCCGCTTCCTTTTTCGTTAGAGTGTTGAGTTCAAAACATGGAGTTGCCTTTTTAGTCACTAGTTTTTTATTATGTTTCAAATTTACTCTCAATTCATCTGTCCAAATGCATATGAAATTATAAAACTCAAGTCCCTTTGCAATCCTTTTTTTCTTTCAACTTCCCAATCTCTCAATTTCTATCAAATGTTTAAATCAACTATCACATGGTCTTGAAGATTGTACTTTAAGGTAATAAAAACTTTGAATTTATATTTTGCTTTTCAACAATTTAGCATTCAATGGATTATTTTAATATTTGAATCCATTAGGGTGATGTTGATTTTAGAAAAAAAAACAAAAGAGAAACAATTGGCGGCGTTGAATTTATTATACTCGTCAATCAAGTTTTATTGTTCTTCACTCTCAATCTTAGACTTTTGACTACAAACATTTAGTACATATGCATCTAAAAACATGAGATGTGTAATATTTAAGTAATGGTTGTATATCTATCTTCTTTTGAATATTAGTAGAATTCTTTTATGTATTTAGAAAATTCTTTTTTGTACATATCAATGTACAAAGAATCAAAGGTCAAAGAATTTTAAGACTCTACTTCGAAGGTTTCCCTAGAACCCCCCAAATTCTCAGAGTCGGGCCTGTGATCAGGCTAACTATTAGATAAGGTCACAATTCCTATTAGCAGTTGCACTAATCTGGAGTGAAGTTCCCCTGAACATAGACAAACCCTAGATGAGATGTCTGGACTACATATTAATACACGGTTGAGTAGTTCAAGAAATGTCACCTCTTTTTAACCTTGAAACTCTACCACTACAAAAGATTTAACCTTGCCAAGGAGACTTTGAAATCTTGCGTCCAGCCTTCTTGTGTTCTTAATCAACATGTCGTCTTTTACGATTTCGATTGTACTTGAGATACGGGGTTTTGACTAATTTAATTCCTAAACTTGTAAGCCACTATTAGTTTCCCCTTCAACTTTTAATTTAGTTAGTTAATATCTAAACTTTTATAAATAGCCAACTCTCTAAATTCAGATTGTCAAATTGTTCATCCATCGTTTTGTTCCTATTTTTCACAAGGATAGCCCGTTAGCCAATTAAGAGGACAAAATGACTTTCCGCTCCTTGCTAAAATCTACATGGTAGAACTAATTCTCCTTTCCCTCCAAATTGTGCAGGTGTGATATGTCGAGCCCTGTATAGCAACAACTCATCTAAGTGCAACAAAATAAAGTTTCTACCATCTTAAGCAGCTCAAGTGTTGTCTACTTAACAAATACGAATGAAATTTTGAATGCAATGTTATGTACCCTAATAGTGAGATGATAATTCTCTACAATAAAAGTTTAGGAGCTTTAATGAAAGAAGCTTGGACCAAAATTATTTTAACAAAAAATCATCCTATAGTTTTCTATAATCAAAAGCACCTCAAAATTAACCAGAAGGACAAGGCTCCCAAATTCTACATGGGCTGGATTACAGAGCCCAACACAGGCAAAATTAAGTTTCCTAAAGTAGGGCTGGGTTCGGTTCTCAACGGTTCGGTTTTTTTCCAAAACCGAAACCGAACCGAAATTTCGGTTCGGTTCAAATTTTTTCGGTTTTTTTTCGGTTCAGTTTTTTTTTCAGTTCGGATTTTTCGGTTCGGTTTCGGTTTTTTTTCGGTTTTTTTTTTTTTTTCTTCCTCCAAAAATTTTAAAAAAAAAATGAAAATATGAAAGTTTACATTCAAAGTCACTTCAGAGTCATCCTTTTTCGGTTATTCAACACAACACAACACACACACACCATGCCCATTGTGACCGCTGATGCTCGTCATAGATATTTGGTTGGGCATAAACATCAGGTTTATGTTGTACTGAGGTGTGAGTCCTCACTAAGCTCAAGCAAACAAGGACGAATAGTTTTCTCCACCACCTGTGCAAAGCGTGTTATGCATAAGTGCTTTCAGTGCTTTAACTCGATTTCAGTATTGTATTTTGAAAATTATGCTCCTTTGCGTAAGGACTATCAAATGAAAAGATCTCTATTACTTACCGACTGATCAACTATCGGAATAATCGACTGCAACACCTTAGCCACATTGAACTTGATGTTTGGTACCCTACAAGAAGAAATTCTCAGCCCTACCGTGCAAACTAAATCAAACAAAAAGCGTAGTTTAACTTAATAGCTTCTAATCTATACCTGTCTTTTGATGCAGTGCCAGTGACTATCACTGGTACAAGCCTGGAACAAGTGAGTTCTGATCCCAAAACAGGGGCAAGTAGGGAAATGGCATTCAAATTCAATACGAAAACTTTAACTAATTTACATAATGTTAATGACTAGGATTTCAGAATTTTAAAAGCGTTTCTTGGTCTCTTAAACCAGAAAACTTCAACAAGAGTTGCTCATGCTTATACTATCACTATGTTCCTTTGCAAGTGCTAAAATTTCCTTATCAGATCATCATTACTGTCTGTAAAAGTAAAAATTTAGCACCATACTGCAAAAGCTTTTTCTGATTCACCAACATTGCTTCAGCACAAATCTTAGCTATATGTCACATAAAAGCAGTATGCTACTAAACAGGTCTACCTTCCTCGATAATCCAGAACAAAATTGAATACCACATAGTCCAACCACCAGATATAAGTATGTACTTTATAAAAAATCTCATGTTTAACCACCAGTTCGACACACACAGAAAAAAGAATATGTAAACATACAGAAAGAAAAACTTGTGAGGAGTCAATACCTGGAGGACTTTGGGGCCGAGGAGGTGAGAGGACTTTCGGATGGTATGCAGGTCGGGCAAGGACCTGGAGGAGATGGATTTGAGTTCCATGTTGGTGAGCTCCAACTCCACCGAATCCACCACAGTACGCGTGTCATCGGACAAGGCGGAGTGGATCAGGATCATCGCCTTCACTTGTTCGAGGTCGCCGAAGCACCATCCTCTGGTTCATAGGGTTTCGATTGCAGCGTCGAAAGCAGCGCCGGAACTCCCCCATCCATTTTTCAGCGCCTGTTTGCCGCGGCGTTTGATTTTTGGGGCTCGAAACGGCAAGAAGAAGCTCACGGCGAGGGTGAGGTGTGAGAGATTGAGAGTGAGAAGGGTCGTGCCGTCGCGGGTCGCCTGGGATTCAAGACCAAGAGAGACAGAGAGTTTGAGAAAGACAGAGAGGAGGCTCGGCTGCGCGAGAAGGTTACTGGGTTAGGGTTACACTGGAGGCAGGGAAGGGAACGAGAGAGAGAAGAGGGGAATGAATAAAAGGTGTGGCTGCTTGTGGCTAGGGTTAACTTAAAGGGTTTTGTTGATTTCTCAAAAAAATTAAAAAACTTTTCTGAAATGTTGGAGGCATGAGGGTTCGAACCCTTGCGCTGCAACTTGAAAATTTTCCCTGAAACCAACTTGGCAACAGGTTTTGTTTTGTTATGATTGTATGACTAAACTATTTATAATATTGAAAAAAATAATTAAATATATATATCGGTTCGGTTCGGTTTCTGAACCTCAAAAACCGAAACCGAACTGACCAGATTCAGTTCGGTTCGGTTTGACAGTTTCGGTTCGGTTTTTTTCGGCCTTGGTCCGGTTTGGTTTTCGGTTTTTTTCGGTTTTCGGTTTTTTGAACCCACCCCTATCCAAAAGTGCCACTAATAAAAAGAAAGCCCAACCCCGCACAAAACTCAGCAAGGACAAGTGAGGCGTTGTTGAGCAGACAGCATGCTCATTGCCAAGCGCAAAACCATTATTGCCGCGTAAAACCATTATTACTGTCACTAGCCCCGTGTTCATTCCAATATTTCTTCCTCTGTTGTAATTGTTCCATTGCAGCACATACATATGGAAGCTTTTCTAGGTCATCAACAAGCCCCGACTCTGCCTTGACCAACCAACCATCTAACTCTGATATTGCTTTTTTGACTGAAAGATCTACATCTGAAGTAAATGTTAACTTTCAAAATGGATCACAGCTTTCATCACCGCAACCTCCAACGACATCTTTCTCTTGTTTACTTTTATGGGATAAAGTAAATGAATCCTTTTGTAGACTAAGGAGCATAAACTCTATAGTATCACCAACACAACACTGCTTAACATTCTCCACGAACAATGTGTATAAATCCTTCGAGGATATCGTCAAAAAACACAATGGGCAACTTTTCCAGCAGTCTCCTTTATGATCCTCCTTCCCCATCTGCAAGTATTGGAGAATACATGGGATATATGTATGGATGTCTAGATGCTTATGTTATCAAATTGTCAAATGGTACCATTATTTATCGTTTTTTTTTTATCAAAGTATGTCATTCTAATCCTCCTTGAAATAAAGAGACACTATATATGAAATTGGACCAATAAGTAGACATTATTTATGAAATCAGATCAAGAACGAGAGACACTATTTCTAAAACTAAACCAATAGGTGGAAATTATTTATGAAAATAGACCAAGAAAGATACACTATTTATGAAACTAGATCAAGAAAGAGACGCTATTTATGAAACTAGACCAAGAAAGAGACACTATTTATGAAATTGTATAAATTGCTATATAGAATTTATGAAATTGGACCAAGAACTAAACATTATTTATGAACTTGGACCAAGAACTAGGTCACTATTTATGAAAGTTGACCAAGAACTAGACACTGTTTATGAAACTGGACCAAGAACTAAGCCACTATTTATGAAAGTGGATCAAGAACTAGGCACTATTTATAAAACTGGACCAATGAGTAAACACTCTTTATGAAATTGAACCAATAAGTAGACACTATTTTTATGAAACTAAACAAAAAATTAGACATTACATCGAAAACTGAACCAATAGGTGAACACTGTTTATGAAATTGGACCAAGAAAGAGACTATTTATAAAACTTTACGAAAATGTACACTATTTATGAAACTGGACAAAAAATTAGGCATTATTTATGAAATTGTACCAATTCCTATATACTATTTGTGAAATTGGATTAATAAGTAGACATTATTTATGAAACTAAACCAATAAATTTAGTTTATTAAATTTATGAGCTAAAGCATTGGTAGATTAAAAATATTTTATGAGCTAAAGCATTGGTAGATTGAAAATATTTTATGAGCTAAAGTATATGTTAGAGAACAGGTGTCCATCACATGCATGCCTACGCATGTGACTTGATCTTACACAAGTACACTTGCAGGCTCAAGAGGTGTATAATAATTCTTTGATGGGGAATGACACCAACATCTAGTGTCCATAACATGCATGCCAAAGCATGTCACTTCATCTTACACAAGTACACTTGCAGCTGCTTGGTAAACAATACTACCAACTTCCTGTCACCCTAACAAACTCACACTAAAAAACAAGGATGGAGAAAAAAGAAACGGCTTCTCAATAACGTCTTTAAATGATGATTTTTCGTATAAAGAGAACACAAGGGTGTTCGTCACTCCCTTTCTCTATCTCCCCCTCTCAAAGGTCGCTTTTATATGTGTTTTTGTGGGATTTTCCTGCTTATATTTTGGTCCTCCTTGTTCTCTTCTGGGTTTGTCTAGATTTTAATGAGATGGCTAAAGGCTAGTTTGATATTGCTGTGCTTTGAAAAAAAACTACTTCTACTGTGCTGTGCTGTGAGAATAAGCAGCTGTGAAATAAAGTAGCAGAGTGTTTGGTAAACTTTTTTGTAAAAGTGCTTTTGGAAAGAAAAAAAAACAGTATTATAGTGTTTGGTAAACTTTTATGTAAAACAGCTATAACTGTTTGAAATGACCAAAAAGGGTAAAATACTAGATATGCCATTAATTTAATTTTCTTAACAAATAAAGGTGAATTACTAAATATACTTTATTTTTAAAGAAAAATATTTATAAACTTTATCTTAAATTCATTAGTACAATATTGTTAATGTACTTGAGAGTAGTCTAATCAGATTCATTCATCAAACTTGCCACTATTCTATTTCCTAATGGCACCGCCCAAAGAAGTTGTGAGTTCCAACTTTGTTCATTGTACAACTAGGTTAACGGGTTCTTTCACAATTACTCTCTAAACCACTTCAAATATAGAGTAATGAGATTTAACCAAGTATACAATTTGAATTAAGCAATCCAACTGGATGCCTCATGTTAATGCACTTGTCCAAATGCAACCTAAAAGAATTCAACAGAGAGAAGGAACTGGAGGTGCTTTCAACTACTGGTACTACATATGCAATATCATAAAACCAGGTCACTCTATACAAAACCATTCTACAGAAAACACGACTACTTCACAACGACCTAAAAGCATGTTGAAATAGCCTAAGCTGAAATGTCATTTTAGAAACTTTTCACATCCCGAAATCATCCAATCACTCTTCAAACTCGGTGACGTCCATCACATCAGTCATGACAATCTGATTCTGCGTTTTACTCAATTCATCAATATCAGCGGCTAACAATGGATCATCCTTCACTTTATCTGACTTCAATTTTGCAGGGCAAGCTGATAGGAGGAAAAACCAAGAAGGTTTAGCAATCTCACCAAAGTATAAGTCCAACTGATGTAGGGGAACAAAAAATAAATATACCTGCAACAGGGCATCGTGTGTTGTTTTCCTGTAAGTAATGCATGATATGCCCTTGTCGTAAACATACTTGCATACGACACTGCATTTGGGGGAAAAATACACCAAGAAAAATCTTTAACATTAGAAAGATCTACAACAGTGTAATGTGAGCTAAAGTAAATATAAAAAGGGATTGGAAATGCCTAAACACACATAAATACTCAATGCTAGAAGTCTTATGCCACACCAACATTCAGCAAAGACCGTAAATTCATATTTTCCCAACAAAGAAAAAGATAAATGTCTGAAGTAACTAATACAGCACCTGCGTACTGGATGCTCCAGTTCAGTGACAGGCAAATGGTCTTGGGGCCAGAAATAACAAAAATCACTTCACATAAATTTTTAGAGAGTGAATTTTCCTGGTACATTGGATAATGGCTTTCATCTACATGCAATAGTATACAGGGAATGCATACTATGGTCAAATGTGGTCTGCTTAGTAGATGTTCCTATTGGCGTCTCACAGAGAGGGATAAATTCATAGTCCTGGCTACTGATGGGGTACGTAGCCAGTTAATTTATGCTACTTACAAAAGATATGTATAACATTTCCTTTCCTTTTCCCCCTTTTATTCCTCGTGGTCTTGGAATCTAAGATTAAAACTTTCTTGGCTGATTTGGGATGTCCTCTCTAACAAAGAAGTGGTAGACATTATAGCAACAGCCCTAACACGTTCTTCTGCAGCTCGAGCACTGGAAGAGACAGCAATTCGAGTGTGGAGATAAAAGTACCCAACTTCCAAAGTAGATGACTGTGTTGTAGTTTGTCTATTCCTTGACTTAACATATGTCAAACACATTGGACATGGAGCAGTTTAATACATTTACAATAGAGCAAACATCTTTAGATACAACAACAACAACAACAAAGCCTTTTCCCACTAAGTGGGGTCGGCTATATGAATCCTAGAACGCCATTGCGCTCAGTTTTGTGTCATGTCCTCCGTTAGATCCAAGTACTCTAAGTCTTTTCTTAGGGTCTCTTCCAAAGTTTTCCTAGGTATTCCTCTACCCATTCGGCCATGAACCTCTATCACGTAGTCACATCTTCGAACCGGAGCGTCAGTAGGCCTTCTTTGCACATGTCCAAACCCATTTTGTGTACGTGTTGATGCTTCACCGCCCAACATTTTGTGCCATACAGCATCGTCGGCCTTATTGCCGTCCTATAAATTTTCCCTTGAGCTTTAGTGGCCTACGACGGTCACACAACACGCCGGATGCACTATTCCACTTCATCCATCCAACTTGTATTCTCTGGTTGAGATCTCCATCTAATTCTCCGTGCTTTTGCAAGATAGATCCTAGGTAGCGAAAACGGTCGCTCTTTGGTATTTCCTGATCTCCGATCCTCACCCCTAACTCATTTTGGCCTCCATTTACACTGAACTTGCATTCCATATATTCTGTCTTTGATCGGCTTAGGCGAAAACCTTTAGATTCCAACACTTCTCTCCAAAAGTTAAGCTTCGCATTTACCCCTCCTGAGTTTCATCTATCAACACTATATTGTTTGCGAAAGCATACACCAAGGAATATCATCTTGAATATGTCCTGTTAACTCATCCATTACCAACTTAAAAAGGTAAGGACTTAAGGATTGTTGATGCACAAAATCAGTAAGGACTTTGGTACAACAGAAAGTATTAAGTTTGTGATCTTCGCTAGATTGTTCTGGTCATTAGTGTGGATAAGTATGTAAATGGATAGAGACAGGAAAGCAAACACAAAATGTACGTGGTTCACCCAGATTGGCTACGTCCATGAAGTAAAGGAGTTCTCATTAATTGTGAAGGGTTTACACAAGTACATAGGTTCAAGCTCTCCTTTAGTGAGTACAAGTGAATGATTTAGTACAAATGACATAGTTTCAAGCTCTCGTCTTCACTTGCCTTATCTGTCTCATAGGTAGATGTGGCATCTTCTCTGGAAGTACTCTTCCTTCATCCAGGGGTGGTATCTTTAACTGGTGGAGATGCACAAGGTAATGTATCAATTTCACTTGAAACTTACTTGTAGTTTTAGGCTTGGTCAAGCGCGATACAAACCATGTAGTAGGAATCCCCCAAGTTGCCGAGCTAGGGGATCTGCTGAAAGAGGCGACAGACAAGGTAAGCAATCAGAGCTCCAAGCAATCAGTCCCAGATCAGAAGTTTGATTTCAAGTTTAAGCTGATTGTTCTCATTCTCCCTATCTTGCAGGCAGTATGAAGGATAGGTCGTACCCAGTGCACAAGCCTCCCGTTTTACGTAGGGTCTAGGAGAGGTGAATGTCGGCTAGCCTTACCCCTATTTATGGAGAGGCTGCTCCCAAGTCTCGAACCCGAGACCTACCGCTCATGGGCGAAGGCACTTGCCATCGCACCAAGGCAGCATGAAGGATAAAGAGAAGAAAAGGAGAATATATGATATGAGATACTTTTGCTTTTGAAGAAGTAACTTTCCACAGGCTTATTCTTGAACTGGGCTGGAGGATTTTCTAGTTTCCTTCAGAGTATAAGGCCGACTGAAGAATTTGAGGGTCAAAACAAGTCCATCAAATCTAGAGTACGTTCGACCCTGCTGATATGGGATACTTTTGCTGTTGACAAAGTAGTGGATGTATCGGCACGTGTTCTGTTACGCTTGTTTCCACATGCTTCCTTGTATCCTTCTCACTTTCCCTATCTGTTCCTCAGGCAGATGTGGTATCTTCTCTGGAAGCATAAGATGTTGAAGATGAGTACTCGAGAGCAATGCCAGGTAAGTAATCAAGTAAGGGGTTCTAGGCAGTCAGTTCTTGATTAAAAGCTTGATTTCAAGTGCTGACTGATTGCTCTCTTTCTCCTTGTCTTGCAGGTAAGAACAAGGCCAAAGGAAAAGACAGGGAAAAAGCATGATATGGGATACTCTTGCTTTTAACCCTGATGATATGAGATATTCTTGCTCTGGTGTAGCTTGTTTGCAGAGGGATTATCGGGGGGAAAGAAAGCTGAGTATTTCAAGAGGCTTCGTTGGGAGTGCCATTTCAGATATGAGGAAGGGTTGAGCATTTTTGCAGGTCTGCCTGTCCGTTAAGGATGGAGGTCGACATATATAGGAGTTTCCTTAACAACAAGTAGTAATGCTATTCATTTACCCTACTTGGTCATAGCATGGTAGTGGGAGTTGCAAGCTTCACGTGTGTCAGAGCACTTTGAAAAAGTGGTCTGTGGTATCTGGAAAGCTGATGTTGCATGTGAAGATTACATACAAGCTTTATCCAAGGAGATATGGCTCTCGAAGTTGAGAAAGCGGTGCCTCTTCGGTTTTCGAACAAGCAATCCTGTCGGGGATCTGGCTCTCGAGATTCGGATAACGGTGCCTCTTCGATTTTTGAGAGAGCAATCCTGCTGGGAGTCTGGCTCTTGAGATTCGGATAGCGGTATCTCTTCGATTTTTGAGAAAGTAATCATGTTGGGAGTCTGGCTCTCGAGATTCGGAGGACGGTGCCTCTTCGATTTTGGAGCAAGCAATCTTGTTGGGAGTGTTTTCTCGAATGTGAGTAAAGGTTGGGCATGTTTGCTAGTCTACCTTGCCACAAAGCATAGAGGTTGACACATAGGGACTTTCCAATTATCCAGCAGTGGTGCTATTCATTTACCCTTGTGGGTAATAATATGGTAGCTAGACCTTCAAAATTTATGTGTCTAAACTTTGTTAGTGCTGTTTCTTTGCTATTCTTTTACCCTTCTTGGTCATAGCGATGTAGTGGGAGCTATAAGCTTCACGTGTCTAAACTTTGTCAGAGATTTTTGGCAAAGCTATCTGTGGTACCCATGAGCTGATGGTGCGTGTGGAAAGTGGATAATTGAACAGTAAGATTCATGTGCTTTTTACTTCACCAGAAATCTTCAACAGAATGCCCGTAATTTCAGCAAAGCTGAGTGTGCATGTGACAGGTGCTGACAAGGCTGAGAAAAGCAGGTGCCTCTTCGATTTCTAAGATCGGCCATCGTGGTCTCTGAGCAGCCTAGGTTTTGAGAAAGCAAGCGCCGCTTCGATTTTTGAGATCGGCCTTCGTGGTCTTTGAGCAGCCCAGCTTTTGAGAAAGCAAACGCCTTTTCGATTTCTGAGATCGGCCCTCGTGGTCTCTGAGCAGCCCAGCTTTTGAGAAAGCAAACGCCTCTTCGATTTCTGGGCAGGCGCCTCTTTGATTTCTGAAGCTCCGTCGAGTGCAGATTTTTATAGAGGCTGGCATTAAGTTCGAAAGCACACTTGAATCTTCACCAATAGAAGCTCCCTTCTTACACTTCTAAGATCTTGATTTGTCCGACCTTTTCTCTCTTCAACACCTTTGAAAATGTCTGGCCCCTCCGACCGTCGTTTTGACTTGAACCTTGTTGAAGATGCAGCCACGCCTTCTCCAGACAACATCTGGCGCCCATCCTTCTTATCCCCTACTGGTCCTCTTACCGTTGGGGATTCCGTGATGAAGAATGATATGACTGCTGCGGTGGTGGCCAAGAACCTTCTCACTCCCAAAGATAACATACTACTTTCCAAACGGTATGATGAGTTGGCTGTTAAGGATTCTCTGGCTCTAAGTGTTCAGTGTGCAGACTCTGTGTCTAATATGGCCCAACGCCTATTTGCTTGAACCCGTCAAGTTGAATCATTGGCGGCTGAAGTGATGAGTCTCAAACAGGAGATTAGAGGGCTCAAGCATGAGAATAAACAGTTGCACCGGCTCGCACATAACTATGCTACAAACATGAAGAGGAAGCTTGACCAGATGAAGGAATCTGATGGTCAGGTTTTACTTGATCATCAGCGATTTGTGGGTTTGTTCCAAAGGCATTTATTGCCTTCGTCTTCGGGGGCTGTACCGCGTACTGAAGTTCCAAATGATCAACCTCCGATGCCTCCTCCTTCTAGGGTTCTGTCCAATACTGAGGCTCCGAATGATCCCCCTCTGGTGCCTTTTCTTTCTGGGGCTCTACTGATTGCTGAGACTTCTCCTAAGCAACCTTTGTGAAGGCTCCCTCTTGTTTGTTTATTTTGACTCATGTATATGTACATATTTGTAACTTATCGGAGATATCAATAAATAAGCTTTGCTTCAT